GCACAAAATAAGGCCAAACAAGGCCTAAGAGGGGGTAGACTACCCCCACCCAAAAAGTGACCTTAAACAATCATCACAAGCATGAAAAATCAGAACTTTTGTTAGTTTAGATTTAAGCTTAAAACAATATACAAGTAGGTCTAAAAGCTTAAGCCAAAATGGGGGATTAAAAGCTAGAATCTCACCCTTGAAGAACACCTTCAAGAACACAACTCCAGTAGCCTCCTCTGATCAAAACCAGCCCAAGAACTCCAAAACCAACTCCTAAGGACCTCAGCAACCAAAGGATGGTGTATTGCTAGGTGTTTGTGTGCAATAGTATGAAGAAATCACACTTTTGGGCACAAACAAGAGCAAAGGGAGAGAGAGAGAGGTAAAATATATCTATTGACATGGATAGGCCCACAAGGCATACGGCCCACAGCAAACCACCCCAAACCCATCGCTTGGGACCAATGGCATAACCCGGTTGGCAAAGCCCAGGACAGCTGGAGGCCATCTAGACATGGAGGGCCAATGGCATTTGGGCACATGGCAGGTGGGACACGGGCCACATCAGCAGACAAAGATCTGCAGAGTTATTATCACAACACATCACCATTAATGCGTCCCATCACAGCATTTATTACGACAACACCTCCCCGTCGGAACAGAGCCCCCTCACCCTGAACAAGATAAGCTACGGCACAGGCTTTCGGCGGAAGGGGGCACGTCATAAGGGACAATGAAATGATTACCAAAGGATATAAGCAAAAATAGAAAGACAAGAGAAAGGTTAAGCTTTTTATCTATCTCTCTCTCTCTACATTTCCTCCTTCCACTACTAATTCTCTCGCCAGAGGGTTCACTGGGGGACTGCCCCGTTCCCCTTTGGACTTGCTTGCAGGTCATTCGACGGAATCATCACCTTGAACCGGAACTTGAAGAGCTTGGACCAGCCCGACCCATCCACCCGGGACGGACAGCATTATCAATAGGCATTATGATAATTCTTTATGAAAATAATCATGAAAGAATCTTTATTCTTATATAATACTTTATAACTTATTATATATATAATTTAAAGATAAAAAAATTTTCATAATTATTTTTATAAAATATTTTTTATGATATTGCATAGCTGCCTTGATCTCATCTACCAGTCACTTTAAAGTTCTAAAAATCAACCCCACTTCTTGTTTCCTTGTGGGTACTTTCTGTTGGATACTCTTTAACACATTCAATATTGTAAGAGTAAAATTAGCAATTAAAACGTTATAAAACAAAATATCACAAAATGTATTATTCAAGAACAAAAAAATATAATTAATCATATACATTACCCTCTTAAAAATAATTATTAATAGACACTTGGCATCACAAAAAAATAATTAATTAATTAATTAAATTAAATGTATGCATATTTAACATTTTTCAATAAAACTATATCTAGAATATGAATTTAAGTAAGGACTCCAAAAAGAAAAAAACAGATGTGAATCAAATATAATCATATTTTACATATTTTCTCAGTCCATTTCGAAATTTTTACGGCTCTTTAATGTAACTTAGCACAGAATACAAAGTCTGTAACACAGCAAGAACCAGAAGAACAAACGCAGTCAATGCCGATATAAACGACCACGGACTTCTAAAATAAGTGTACCTAAAGCTCGCCCACTGTACATCCCAACCATTCCTGTAATACTGATTCAATTCACCAAACAACCCAGACAAATAACAAATCTCTATGTCAAAAGTCACATCTCTCCCCAAATTATTGATGAATTTGGTTAGCTCGGTATCGGTCCCAAAATAATTTTCAATTATGTTTTGATCCGGTAGGTATTCCAGGTCTTTAGCCGTGTTGATTAAGCAGTTCAGAAACATGGCATAGGTCGTAAAGTGCTTTGTAGGCAACGCAGTTGATCATGAAACAGCTCATGAAATCGTCGATGGAGATTGTTGGCATTTCGATCACCCCGTTCTTGAATTTGACCACCAGGAAGCTATCCTCCGCCACCTTACCCTGCCGGAGATTAATTCAGGCACGGCGGAGCTTGGAGACGCATTGGATTACGTGCGTGGCAGCTGCCGGAGTCCGTTGCTTATTTTCTTGTGGATCCTTTGGAATAAAACTCGATCTGAGAAAATCAAGCAAGTGTTTTCCTTGTAGGGTTTGGCACTGGGCGATGACATCATCAGGCCTTTGGATGGCGTTGTTGAAGAAATCGATTGCGAGTTTGGCAAGAGAAGGACCAGACTCTTCTCCGGACATTACTGAGAGATCGAACAAGCGTGGTAGGATAAAGAAAGGGATTTGATTTTCTAAGCGAATAAGATCTCGTAAAAAAAAAAGGAGTACACCCAAGGCGAAGACACTAATGGTTCGTTTTGGTCGAAACGAACCACGTTGCCTATTTTGCGGAACAATTCGATTATAAAACAGCCGTCGAGGACTAACATTTCGATGAACTCATCGGTGTCGAATCGGATGGTTTCGGAGTAGGAATCTCTGGCTTTGGATTCGAGGGGTTGAATTGCTTTGAGGTAGTCTTCTAAAGTGAGGCCTTTGGATTGGGTTCGACTTAAAAGTGAGCCTAAAAAACGCCATTTGTGCTCTTCGATCATTTGGAGGTGGGGTTGGGAGTGGTGGTAGGGGCCGATGGAGACGATGTGGGGTTGATAGGCGCTGCCGTTGATGTCGATGAGGGTTTGGGGGACTCCGAAGATGGAGCAGGAGCTGTGGCCGGCGGTCTTGCTGAGGAGGACCGGTGTGGCGGTGATTTTTTGGCGCATGCTGTCTAATCGGGCTTGGTGCGCTTCCCATACGGTGATGGTGTGGTGGTTGTGGGGTGGTTGTGTGCCTGAATTGCTACCCATGTCTGGTGGTGATGTGGGCATAATTGGGTAGAGAAGAAGAGGGCTTTTTCTTGGGAACAAATGTTGGTGAAAAAAGATTATAAATTTGGTAGAACATGTATGAGGAAGGAAAGAGGAGAGTATATGGTTATCTCATCACTATTCAGTTCCCGATTATGGACTCGTAATATTTTTTTGATATTATAATTAGTGAAAAAAAGTGAATAAATAAATTATTATATTAGGTGATTAAAGCAATGAAAGATATAATAAATAATAATTTATAAAAGAAGATAGTCATATAATATTTCGAGATTATTGTATAATTTTGCAATTTTCACTATCTACTGTCCACAGTCAATTATTTGAGGAAGGAGATTAGTAAACAACCTAAAGAAGCTTTCCTTATTGTTGAGTTTTGATAAGATATTACTATTTAATAGTTTTTTTTGTTTGTTTGTTTGTCACCTTACGTGTAGGTGGCAGAATGGTTTGTGAATTTCATCCCTCTTATGTAAGTTTTTTGTTTTTTATATTGATGGTGATACTATATGTTATTAATGATGTGATATCATTATTATAATTAAAATTATTTATTTTATAAATTTTTTGTAAATCATTTTATTATTGATTCTTTATTCTTAACATTGTTTTTATTTTTTAGGGTATTACTATTCAAATCTAAAAATTAAATCCAATTATTGTAATGTTAGATATATAAAATTAGATCAAGGATCATTTCTCGTTAAATTTTTGTGTGCTCCTGTTTCTCTACGTTTACACCATTGAAATATGTAAAAATTTAGGCATAATCTACAGATTGTGAGTGTTTTAAGACATAATGATAGAAGAATTTGAGACTGAAAATCTCATGTCCCAAAATAAAATCACAAAAAAAATATATATATATATATATTAATAATATACATATCAATACAATAGTGTCCAACTTTAGTAAATATAATTAATTAGGATATCAGTAAATAAGAATACTTTTGGTCGGATGACCCCATAAAAATATTAATCAAAATTTTAAATATATAAAAAATTTATACCAAAACTTTAACTAAAATGATGTAGCAATAAAATTTGTATATATTGTGAACCATATAATTTTTCTTTTTTTTAGTTAGCCAAGTGTTCAATAAGTGACTAGGATACACTACAAGAAATGTCGCTTTTGGCTACCAAAATATTGGTCGCCAAAAGTCCAAAATTTGGTCGCCGAAACCATTTAGCGGCCAAAATTTTTTGTCGCTAAGCTCGTCGCCTTTACCCTGACGGCGATAGTATTGGCGACTAAAATTTGTTTAGTCGCCGAAAGTGTACACATTTGGCTACTAATCTTAGTTTAGTCGGCAAAAGGTATGTTTCCGCCACTAAAGTATTAGTCGCCGAATGTGACTTTTGGCTACTAACATTCGTTTGGTCGGCGAATGTGTTACTTTTTGCTACGAAAGAATTAGTCACCGAAAGTTAACATTTGGCTACGAATCCATACTTAGTCGGCAATAGTGACATTTTGGCTACTAATTTTTTAGTCACTAAAAGTTCTACATGAAAATTTTAACCAACTATTCATTACTTTTTGCTACCAAATGTTTTAGTCGCCAAATGTTTTTGCTACTAAATTATTAGTAGCCAAATAATTCCAACTATGTATTTGGCTACCAAAATATTTGGTGGCCAAATATTTTCTGTTTTTTTTTTTTTTCCAAAAAAATTCTAAACAACCTACATCCATGTTTAATACAACCTGTACGTACATAACACAGGATTCAATATAACCCAATATAACCCATCAACGCTAAATATATTATCAAGCATTCAACAACGTGCACACATTCTAGTTCCAACCATCCAAAACATTAAAAAGAAACGTCCAATTCTATATATAATACAAATTCCATACGAACCAAGTCTAATCCAACGTCAATAATTTCATTTCATACATAATACAGGACTAACTAAATTAATTTCCAAAAAAAAGGACATATGTACCACATGTCCTAACTTAAACTTGTTTGTCAGAATCTGTCTTTTACATACATATTTTAAGCAGATTATATGAAGGCATATAAATACTAGACTAGGCACAAGTGCAAAAAAATAGTGAATGTTTCGATTTCTCTCAGCATTATCAAACCAAAGAATCTTTCTGAATCATGGCAGCGCAGCCATCATTGTCCGTTTTCCAGCCTCACGCTTCATCTCTGCTGCTTTGCCACTGCCACGGAAGTACATGTAAACATCCTGCATAATATAAATAAAATGAAAAACTAATAAGATTAATACCAAGTGACGCTAGTTCCACTAAATAAAAATTATATCAAGTGATATCAAGGGCAACAGTGATATCAAATTTTTTTGTAACTAATTATATCAAGTGATTATATCAAGTGATATCAAGGGCAACAGTGATATCAAATTTTTTTGTAACTAATTATATCAAGTGATTATATCAAGTGATATCAAGGGCAACAGTGATATCAAATTTTTTTGTAACTAATTATATCAAGTGATTATATCAAGTGATATCAAGGGCAACAGTGATATCAAATTTTTTTGTAACTAATTATATCAAGTGATTATATCAAGTGATATCAAGGACAAAAGTGATATCAAAATTTGTAACTAATCAAGTGATTATATCAAGTGATATCAAAATTTGTAACTAATCAAGTGATTATATCAAGTGATATCAAAATTTGTAACTAATCAAGTGATTATATCAAGTGATATCAAAATTTGTAACTAATCAAGTGATTATATCAAGTGATATCAAAATTTGTAACTAATCAAGTGATTATATCAAGTGATATCAAAATTTGTAACTAATCAAGTGATTATATCAAGTGATATCTTTCTTGTTATTTCATCTTTCTTCTTTATTTCTTCAAATACCAAAACAAAAAATATTTTTAGTATTACTTCTTTAAATAAGCATGCACACAAATGAGCACGTACTTCCGATCATCATCTTTGGACTCTAGTTCTTTAATCCACATGCTCTTACAAAAATTTTATCCTGGCTCTCTCTTACAAAAATTTAGTGGTTTTCCACATTTAGTTGTTATGATTTAGGCGGCAGTTTTTTTTTCTTGGAGCAACAACTGCTGTTCAATAATAATTTAAGGATGAATAATAATTTAAGGATGATTGCCTCAAGTTTGGTTTATGAGACTGGAGATACTTTTTTCATGATTATTTTGGTTAAATCACATTATCAATAACATGTATGGTGTTGCTGAAGGTGATGTATTATTTCCCATTTTTGATATAACAGGAGGTACAAAAACTACACCTACCAGATTAGAGGCAGAAATTGTGTGCTTTTACAAATGACTACACCATGATTTATAGTAGCAGAAGCAAAACAATTCCAAACCAATATGAAAGACTCATATAATTTTGATGCCCATATAATTTTGCTAAAATCAGATTTGATAACAAAAACTTAAAGCAAGATTTTTTGATGCAAAACAAATTTGATCGATGCAGTGCTATATCATGTGTAAAGCAGCTTAGACCTATAATTCTCTCCTATATTTTTCTCTAATATTACTGTTTCATATGCCTGGATAAATAAGACTATGCACAAGAAGGTACAGTTTCAGCTTGCCAAGCTTCTATGCTGCAGAACTTACATTATTAGATGCACAGAGTTGACCTGGCAATGAAGGCAAATCCTTGTGAACAGGGGCACCCTTTATCATCTTCACTTCACAGTTTCCACCCGATCCGGGTGGGGCTTGGATTTTCCCATCAATTGACAATTCTGGGAAGCCCCAATCTTTAGTTGGGTTTGAGGAATCATAAGTTGACAAGGAGGCCAAGTATTTTGCACTAGGACTCCTCAACTTATACACCTGCCCTGAAAAAAGAAAATTTAAGTCATATCAATTATAGTCATTAACACCAAATTAGGGGAGAGAAGTGAAACAGTGCAAATTGAGAAAAATCAAAATGACTTAAAATTTAAAAATAGAAGTGACAGTAGAACATGTTAGGGGGAAAAAAATTATTATATCAAAAGCACTCAAAAAACGCAACCAGATTCTTGTCTAAAAAGCTTCAAAGAGATTAGAATTTGACATCATAAAGAAGCTTCACAATGTAGCATTTTCTACATGAAGAATATGTAAGCTACAATTCACACTACTATATTCTGTTGTTCAACCAGATTATCACTTGGTGGTAACAATGAAAATATGAAAAATGATGTCAATAAAGTAACCAATTAACAAGAAATGCAAAGAATTCTCCATCCTATTCTGAAGTATGTGGCTATGGAAACAAAATACACACTTCACATATTTTGAAGTACATAGTATAAAATTTTCATCTGTGACTCAATCCAAGAAATCCAAGCAGTATATTATGAAGTACACAGTATATAATCTTAGAATGTAAAAAAAAAAAAAAGAATTGATTGAATAATGGTTCCACCATACATGTACATTTATTTTTCCATTGCATGCTGGGTCTTTAAAAGCTCAGGTTTTCATGAATCCTTGTAACAGACAGATTATAGAGTACAACTGCCCATCTAATAAAGAAATTAAAATATCAGACCCAAACAAGTACATGTACTTAGAGTTAGTACCTGAACTACCAATGATGTTAGAGGCAAAGGAGAATCAGCAGAAGGTCCCACAGCAAATGCTTGAGCCATCCTCTCAAATTCACTGTTACTAACTCATCATCAAAGTGCAATGTGCAATGTGGAAACATTTTGGCAGTTCGTAGGTTCTTCAACAGCTGTCACACCCTCCCTGAAATAAATAATTATTCTTTATGATAAACAAGAGAAAAATGTAAAGAACCGAATCCCAAAAGGTAAATTCAATAACTGCCTGAAGTTCCCAAGCATAAACCCCACAGTTGGTTTTCCCTGTACAGAATATCCAACTGAAAATTCACACTTGTTACGGTATCCATTTACAAGTGGTGATTCGACTATACCCTCTAGTTTGCATGGAAGACCCCCTGCTCCAAAATACAATAAGAGGATAGCATCTGAAACTATAATAAAAATAAAGAGCACAGTTTGCATCTCCATAGAGCAATGAAGAGTGTTCCAATCACATGAGCTCAATGAGCTCAATGCATAATTCTTCCCCAAAATGTGCTATCAATTAGTGTTTACCAAGAGCATTTGAATTTGGTGCTATCAATTTGTTGCTATCAATTTGTTTTGCTATTATAGCTTTATATATACATACATACATATATATATATACAGTAAAGTAGACTTTGCTAAACTATGTAAGCAAATTTTAGTAATTTTAGTCGAGCAAACTTTAGTTTTCAGTGAACGAAAATATAGAGAGAGCCTCATCTTGAGAGTTTGCTTAGGGCCCCCAAAAGTTCACAATCAGCCTTCATTTTGAGCTAAGAGGAGCACGAAAACATATATAAACAAACACATACACTAAAAGATTATACCCGAAGGACATTGAATCCTTAATTTCCACAAATAAAATACGCCACTGGACCGTAATGATAAAAAACTGCACACTATAAATGCACTCACATGTAAATAACTAAACTGCAATCGGAATCAAATTGATAAGGAAATTCTATAAACTAAAACGAGCTCATCATGGAAACTTTCACAACAAATTTCAAGTATTTTGGAGCTGACCCAGGTGATCATTTCAACCCATTAACAAAACACAAACGATTACGTAGAGTAATTTCAAGAAAACAACAAATTATGCCTCCAAGTTACAAAGACATATATATATATATATATATTTATAGAATTCCCAATATATATAATCAAGAAAACATCCATTTATACCTCCGACGTGAATCTGTGGTGACTCGGCAAAGATCATCGATGGAGGAGGAAGAAGGCAAAATTCCCAAATCTATACGCCACTGGACCCCTCTGAGCAAGGGGCGTCCGAGCTCGCCAGTGTCAAGAACAGAGCTGCTATCAGAACAGAGCTGCAAATGGAAGACGAAAACCCTAGAGGCTGAAATTAGGGGAAGAGAGACTGAAAGATAGAGAGAGGGCAAAATAGAGAGAGGACATACCTGCCGTACCCGACGACGATGGAGACAAAGGCGAGAGAGAGAGCTGGAGGAGGGCAGAGGCGTGAGAGAGTGAGAAAGAGAGAGAAAGAGAGAGAGTCAAAGAGTGAGAGACAGAAAAACGAAATCTGAAATCTGAAGCCAATGAAATGGAAATCTTAAACCTTTCTTTCCCGACCAATTTTTGTAGTCGCCAATGAAATTTCCCTCCGAAGTCTGAAGCACAATTTTAAAATTTTGTAATTATAATCGCCGACTAAAATTTAGTCGGTAAAAATATATTAAAATATAACAAAAAAAATTTAAATAAAGTAAAAATAATTAAAATTATATTAAATAAATATAATAATAAATATTAAATAAAAATATAGTAATAAATTAAAAATTAAAAATATAAATTATCTTAAATATTTGCCCTAATATTTTTTTAACTAAAAAATATAATAATATATTTTAAAATTTTATAAATTTACTCATAAGTCATGAGTGAATTTTTTTTACACACTTAGCCCTCATTTTGATAATGAAATTTTTTTCAAACTTTTTAAATATATGTTTTGTGTCTGTGAAATGATTATTTCATTAGTACTGGTAATAATATTGAAAAATTTATTAAAATGATAAATAATTGGGATATTTTGTCTTTTATTTGTGAATTTTGATTTATTCTTAATTTATTAGTTATTGAAATATGATGATGTAAAAAGTATAAATAGTTTAATTGTACTTTTTAAAAATAATAAATTTAATATTAAAATTAAATTCATCATGACTGACCTTAACTATGCCTTTAAATTTTTGCAATGTAAAACTATCGACAAACAAGCAATAACAAGTTGCCCATTTTAGCATACCTTTCGCGTGAGGGTGGTGGCAGCTGCAAGGCAAGCATGCACAGAGTAAGTGGTCTTCAATAGAGGCTTTGATTGCCTACCAAAATCTTATAAATCGTACGCTAAAGATAATAGAAATTAAAATCAATGTGAAAATTGATTCATTTTGGCCAGCTTCATTTACCTGTATAAAATAAATAATAGATCTTCAAAGTTCAAACACAGTAAAGACTAAGTAATTGAATTTCATTTAGCACCCTTTGAACTTTTTTAAATAAAATATGGCAAGTTCCAATTTCTTGTATAAAAATACAGTTAAAAAATTCCCAAATTTTGGATTTTATTTAGGTTTGCCCAAGACATAAAATGTAATTGATACAGCAATAAAAAGTTCATAAGCAAAAACCATCCGCTGATCTCGTTAGGATCAACCTCCGTCTCTGCCACTTCTTCCTTTTTCTCTTATACCGTCTGCTAAAGAAAAAAAAATCTTAAGTATTATCCCAACTTGATCCATAAATAACAATAAATCTGCTTCAGTTAAAGAAGGGTAAGTCAAAAAGAGTGGAACAAAACTAACGAACCATAACTAAGGAAAATACATTTGGTCCTTGAAAAATTAAAGTACTTAAGCAGCAAAATTCTCGAGTTACTATGCAAAGAGGAAAGAAAGAAAAAATATATATATGTATGTCAATCCACATCAAGGAAGTCAAATATATACTCAATGCAAGTTATTCTTCATATGTAATTCATACATTTCAAGCATATAAACCTATAATTGAATAAATATACATATATATATATATATATATATGTATAGAGAGAGAGAGAGAGAGCTAACCCAACGTCGTCGCAGTAGAGACGATTGATGAGGACATCGCCGTGGAGATTCAAGTAGTATATGGCGGAAGCAGCCACTGGCATGGTCTCCGATCCAATGGATCCAATA